AAACTTCCTAAGTAACCGAGTCCACTTTGAGTATTGAAGAACAAACAGAATATTTATTAACAAAGTCCTTGTAGACTTGGCTCAGCTTAACGAAGTTACAGACAATCAATCAATGAAACCATATAGCTATTCTTTCTTTTCCAGTCACTGAGTTGCCTTTCTTCAAATGGTAGAAAATCCTGAGATTTTTACCCTAACCCTGAACCACTATCTATAGAAGGCGTAGGCCTTCCCTATTCCAGCCCAGGGTTAGTTTAAAGATGAGGCAAATGGAGCTCAATAACTATCTTAAATTTTATCTATAACTCTAACTCAATTCTATCTCAAAATTCTATGAACTCAGTTGGTTTTCTATAGCTCAATAAACTCCTCTATAGCTCAATAGCTCCCTAAGCCTATCTATCTATCTATCTATCTATCTATCTATCTATCTATCTATCTATCTATCTATAAGCCCAATTTACTTATATTTAGTTTATATATAGTTCTTTCTATCTATAGCCTAATTGACCTTTCTATCCTAAATTATTTAACCTTTTATTTACAACCCAATTTATTCAGTTTAGTTTAATTTAGTACTTGCGATGGTTTTCTCTAGGGTTTCCTTGATAGTTTCCAGAACATCAGGACTTTATTTCCAAACTGAAGGCAGGGAGGACTCCAAAATGGAGGTCTGGCCTGGTAAAAGGGTCGGACTCAAAAGTTACTCTCTGGACCAATAACTGCAAAGGAGGCCTGCAGACCGGCTACTATTAACCTTTGGGGCGCTTGCAAACTGCAGCAGCCCTGGGACAAAATGCAAAAGAAAGCAGCCTTAAGCAGCTGAAAGGTAGGGTAAACCAGGCTCCTGGGAGATGGAACACAATATATTATATTATTAGCATGGTCCAATATCAGTATTATGTATTACTATATTGCACTATACCATTATATTGTAATATTAGTAATATTACATGTAATATAAATATATAATTATAATTATAATATTGTATTATTAATAATAGTATTACATTGCATTACATTATAATACATTACATTGTAATATTATATGTATATACAGTATATTATATTTTTAGTAAAGACATTTTTGTCTCATTCCTGCCATTTCACCTCCTGAGGAATACTCCCACCCACCATTCTTGCTTCCTCATTTCCTTCAGGGAGGAAGGCAACCCACATTGCAATTTTGGTTATTATTATTATTATTATTATTATTATTATTATTATTATATAAAACAACAACATCTTGACCAACATCAAAGCCCCCGTTTAACTTAGGACTTTCCGTAAATAAAAAAGTATTGGAATTTGGTTCTGCATGGTATTTGGTACTGTATGCAGGAAAAAGATATGTGGAGGAAGAAGGTGACAGTTCATTTTCTGGGATAGGAAGGCCTTCTTTTATGTAAACTTGGCTTATCTAGTGATCTGTGCTTTGAATTTCGTTTGGAGACCAACTTGTAGCCAGTGAAACCAGTGAAGGGACTAGATTATCACAATATATGACCTGATCCACCCATCAAAGCAATTCTCCTCCTCCCAGAACACCTTCCTGTGCTTTTGCTGTAAAGGATGGTCTATCTGTAACCTCCTCCATTGTATTGCTTGTGTCCAAAAATATTTAAAGAAACATGGTTGTGTTAGTTGGACAGAATGGTAGAGGAACTATGTGGCTCTTAAATACCATCGACTACTGCAACGCTCTCTACGTGGGGCTGCCCTTGAAGACGGCCCGGAAGCTTCAGCTAGTCCAACGCGCGGCAGCCATGTTGTTAACAGGAGCGGGACGCAGAGAGCATACAACGCCTCTGCTGTCCCAGCTCCACTGGCTGCCGATTTGCTACCGGGCCCAATTTAAGGTGCTGGTGTTACCCTACAAAGCCCTAAACGGTTCCGGCCCAAAATACCTTTCAGACCGCATCTCGGCCTATGAGCCCACGAGGGCCTTGAGATCATCCGGGGAGGCTCTTCTCTCGGTCCCGCCTGCCTCACAGGCACGCCTGGCGGGGACGAGAGAGAGGGCCTTCTCGGTGGTGGCCCCCCGGTTGTGGAACACCCTCCCTACTGAAGTTAGACAGGCGCCCTCTTTGATGGCCTTTCGTAGGAGCCTGAAAACTTGGCTCTGCGAGCAGGCCTTCAACTAAGTGTATCTGTGGAACGACGTTAGAATGGACTATGACTACGAACTTGGCTATGACCCTAGGATTAGACGAAGCGGATTTTTAGTATAAGTATATGTCGTAGTAGTAGTTTGTTATGTCTTGTTGTGATCTTTTGTATGCCGTTCTTCTATGTTGCTGTTCACCGCCACGAGTCGCCCCTAGGGCTGAGAGTGGCGGCCAATAAGTGCAAGAAATAAATAAATAAATAAATAAATTCTAGTGCAGGGGTCCTCAAACATTTTAAACAGAGGGCCAAGTCAGAGTCCCTCAAACTTTTGGAGGGCCGGATTATAATTTGGAAAAAGGCTTACATGAATTTCTATGCACACTGCACATATCTTATTTGTAGTGCAAAAAACACTTTAAAACAATACAATAATTAAAATGAAGAACAATTTTAACAAATATAAACTTATTAGTATTTCAGTTGGAAGTGTGGGTGTGCTTTTGGCTCATGAGATAGGATGATTGTTGTTGTCGTGTGCTTTCAAGTTGTTTCAGACTTAGGTTGACCCTGAGCAAGGGCTGGGTAAATGACCTTGGAGGGCCGTATCCAGGCCCCGGGCCTTAGTTTGAGGACCCCTGTTCTAGTGGACTAGAAATCATGGCTATCCAAAGGGCCCCTGTCTCTCTAGCTTCCTTCATACCAATCTCCCAAGTTATAGATCTGTTGAACTTACAACTGGCACCACTCCCACCCACCAGGGCCAGATTGGCTGAAAATGATGGAATTGTAGTCCAGCAGATCCAAAGGACATGGAGTTGGAGAAGAGCAGCTCTGAATTCTGGAGGAGCCTGGACTTCATGATGCTGTACCTTCACAGGGATAAAGAACCCAAATTGGTGAAAAGCCAGATATAGTTCTGGTTTTGAGAAGCTGATCTGAAAGGACTGCTTCTTTTGGATTACTGTAATGCCTTTGAAGAGTGTTTGTATTCAGCTGGTCCAAAGAGCTGTAGCCAGATTGTTAACTGGGGTTGGCAACAAGGATTCTACAATAGCTTTATTGGCTGTCAGCTGATTTCCGGACACACTTTAAAGTGTTGATTATAATGTATAAAGCCCTATGTGGTTCAGGCCCAGCTTGTTTGGCAAAACATATCTCCCTGTATTTCTCTCTGTGAAATCATGAGAAGCCCTTCTCTCAACCCCACCAGCATCACAAGCATGGTTTGATGGGGATGTAAGAGAGGGCCTCAGCTCTGCAACTTCCTTCCCAGTGAGGCCAGATCGTCTCCCTTCTTGCTGTTTTTCCAGCAACAGGCTGAAACCTTTGTTCAGATAGGGTTTTGAAACAGAAATAGGCTAGGGAATGTTGCATTTTTCAGTTGATTTGTTGTTTGACAGATGCTTTCATTTATTTTATCATTTTTAAAAAATTAATTCAATTGAAATAGCCGCCCCCTGCCACACATTGCTGTAGCCCAGTCTGGTGATCTGGAAAATAAAATAATGGTTTCTAATCTATGTAATTTCTTTATGCTTGTGCGTAAATAGTATTTCTTGTTTCTTTGTCAGTGTGGATGTGGAGAGTGTCTGGTTTGCCTACTCTGGCATATGCAACATATCATTGTCCTTCTTTAGGGGTCCCTTTCAAATCTATGATATTATATCTGTGTGTGTGTGTGTCATATCTATCTATATCTATGGCTGGATGGCTCTTTGTCGGGAGGGCTTTGATTAGATTTTCTTGCCCTGCTGAAGAGAGTTGGACTGGATGGCTTTAAGTATTTTCTGTTGGTCATGGGGGTTCTGTGTGGGAAATTTGCCCCAATTCTGTCGTTGGTGGGGTTCAGAACACTCTTTGATTGTAGGTGAACTATAAATCCTAGTAACTACAACTCCCAAACTCAAGGTCAATGCCCACCAAACCCTTCTAGTCTTTTCTGTTGGTCATGGGAGACCTGTGTGTCACCTTTGGTTCAATTCCATCACTGGTGGAGTTCAGAATGCTCTTTGATTGTAGGTGAACTATAAATCCCAAGAACTGCAACTCCCAAATGACAAAATAAAAAAAATTGAGTGAAGGACATACACTGGGTTGTTAGGTGTATGCTGTCCAAATTTGGTGTCAATTCGCCCACTGGTTTTTTAGTACTGTTAATCCCACAAACGAGCATTACATTTTTATTTATATAGACAGGGCCATTCAGCCCCACATCTACACAAAATGAACTTACTTACTTTACTTACTTAGATGATCTCTCATTGTCTGAGGATGATGGTCCTCCAAGTGTTGTTTCTTGGCAGTGGGATTGGAGGTGGCTCTGGAGCCCTATTCTTGATCCACATGTTCTCCTGCATTGAGAACATCAATTTCCAAGTGGAAAGTGGTCCCGGTCAGGGTTGGCTTGATATATTGGCTTGGTGTATATTTGGTTTACACAAATATACATTAATGTACAGAAAGACCCTTGAAACCTTATATATGACTACGCGTTGCTGTGGCGTAGTCTGTGTATATGTGTTTTGTGCGTGTATGTATGTTTATATGTGTGGTTTTCGCATGCGTTGTAATGTAATTTTTATTTTTTGGCTTTTTAAGTCCCTTCCGCTGTGTTTTTTGGAGTTTTTATAAGTGAGGGTCACTTGTTGGCCTGATAGGTGTATTGTGTCCAAATTTGGTGTCAATTCGTCCAGTGGTTTTTGAGTTCATTAATCCCACAAATGAACATTAGATTTTTATTTATATAGCTTAGTTGAATTCTGTTTCAGTATTTACCATTGCTGTATTTTAACCATATTGTTTTTTAAGTTGTTAGCTGCTTTCGGTCTTTTCTACCTACTTATTCTTGTGCAATTCTTCTTCTCTTCTCCTCTCCCTGACCTCATGAACAGCAACTGAAATTGGCCGGAGTGGAAGTAGCTGATCTGGACACCAAAGGTGCCAGTGCCGAGGAAGACAACAAAGCCCTGCAGGATGAAGTCAGAAAGCTGAAGGAAGAATTGACCTCCACAAAGAGAGGTGAGGGTTTGGGAGTGCGGGGGGCGATTGTGGACCCATTTGACCCTCAAAATAACTGGCCACACATTTCCATTAGGAAAAGGTAATCAAGGAGTTGACTTTCTCCTCTTGCCATAGCCTCCCCCTCCGAATTGTGCACAGCTGGCTCATCAGGGCTGAAAGCCAGTGAAAGGGTGCTACAGGATCTATTTATATCCCCAAGAGCTGTACATCCATGTGCTTTCCTCGTGTACTATCTCAAAATGCCCCATCCCTCCCCTCTGCTTAAAATAATTTGCTTGGCATGGAGCTTTGGGAATAAATGGACCAGCCCTGCAGCATTTGTTTGTAAACACTAGGATTTATCTGAAATCACGAGGTTGGCTCTTCACTGCCCTCAAAGCAGCCTTTTAGAATGAATTTTTCTAATAACTTGATAGACTATGGTAAAGGGGTCATTTCTTCTAGATTTTAGAGCTCTTGCATTTTTAAGAGTGGATAACGTAGCTGTCTTGAACTGACTGAAAATTCTTATCAGATCCAGTCCTATAACAATACCACCTCTATCAAAAGCAACTCGTGCTTCCAACTCCCTTATTCCTCTCCTCTGACTGAAATGCAACTCAAATTGGCTTAACTGTCCTAATTCACCATGATCCCAGAGGGGACCCTGCTGTGCAGTTTCACAGAAATTAAGGGGGTGTCATCTTGATCCATGAAGCACAATGGAGTAAAATGTCCATTGTTGCAGTTTCACAGAAATGAAGGGGGTGTCATCTTGATCCATGAAGCACAATGGAGTAAAATGTCAAAGAGGAGTTGTTCAAGGACATAGCAGTTTATCAGAAGGTGCTTCTAGAGCAGAGGCGGGACAAGCTGTGCCCCTTCAAATACTGCTGGTCTTGCAGCGGGGAGAAAGGGCAGTCTACAAATAATAATATAATAATAATAATAATAATAATAATAATAATAATAATAATAATAATTGCTTAATAATAATTTGCTTAAAGTGCAAAAGACAAAGAGGGAATGCAGTAAAAACACAATCCAGAGCAGAAGAGAAAACTGGCAAAAGAAGGCTCTCCATGGACAGTTCCTGGGAAAATTTGAGAGCCAAATTGGCAAAAAAAACAAAAAAAAACAAAACAAAACATGGCTGTGATGCACAAATGGAACTTTGAAAAAGGAGACAGAAGGCCTGATTCTGGCAGCCCAAGAACAAGCCATTAGAACCAATGCCATCAAAGCCAGAATTGAAAAGTTCTCAACACATCCCAAATGTAGACTCTGCAATGAAGCAGATGAAACAATAGATCACATCCTCAGCTGCTGCAAAAGGTCACGCAGACAGACTACAAGCAGAGGCATAACACCGTTGCTCAGATGATTAATTGATATCTGTGCCACAAATACCATCTGCCTGCAACAAAGAACTGGTGGGTCACAAGCTGGAAAAAGTTACAGAGAATGAACACGCCAAACTCCTTTGGGACCTCTGAATTCAGACAGACAGAGTTCTGAAGCACAACACTCCTGACCTCACAATCGTATGAATGGATCGTTGAGGTCGCAATCCCAGGTGACAGCAGGATTGCAGAGAAACAACAGGAAAAGCTGACACAATATGAGGATTTAAAGATCAACCTGCTAAGACTCTGGCAAAAGCCAGTAAAGGTGGTCCCAGTGGTGATCGGCACACTGGGAGCAGTGTCTAAAGACCTTGGCCTGCACTTAAACACAATCGACACTGACAAAATTACCATCTGCCAGCTGCAAAAGGCCACCTTACTAGGATCTGCACGCATTATTCGCCAATACATCACACAGTCCTAGACACTTGGGAAGTGTCCGACGTGTGATCCAATTCAACAGCCAGCAGAGAGTGTCTGCTGTGGACTCATTTTGTTGTGTTTCAAATAATAATAATAATAATAATAATAATAATAATAATAATAATAATAATAATAATAAATATAATAATAATAATAATAATAATAAATGGGGTGTCAGAATTCCAGGGGTGGCAGGACTTGTTCCAGAGTCTGTGTACCTCAAGACCTTGATCCATCTATTCCCAAAGCTCCAAGCCAAGTGAATTATCTTTGGCTGGGAGGAGACATTTTGAGCCCAGCTGATAAAATGGCACCAGTCCCAATCTCCTAGGCACTGGAGAGAAGGTGCAGTGTGTAGCATAACCTTCCACAGCTATAAAAAGACCTTGCCGTGAGGACAAAGTCCAGTGGAAGCATACCTGAGAAATTAACTCTGGGCACAAGTAGATGGCAGCAGGACCTCAATGAGAGAGTGGAGCTGTAGGTATGATTGTGTGTGTGTGTGGTGAACTTTTGTTGTGAATACAAGGCTACAACAGAAACTTTTAATGCTTTCATTACAAAGGACAGGGTTGTGGTAGACACTAGCCGTGACCACCCCTACCAGTGACCAGGTTTGAAAGAAGGATAGATAGCACCTGAACCCTGCACTGGTGTAATAGGATTCCCCTACGTGTGTGTGTGTTTATGCTTTTCCCAATTATAAAAAAGGGAGGGACTGCTGTTTTCAGCAGCAGCATCAACCAGTTTGAGCTGCTTCTCTAGATCCCATTACCAGAACCAGCAAATCAGAAGCATTGACATCAGCTCAGCAGGAATCCAGGAGCTGTGAAGCTGCAACCTTTTTGACCTTCTCCTTGCTGAGTGAGGTTGTGTAACGCTTCAGCATGGTCTCCACTTCCATCTCCACTGCAGTCCCACCAGATTGAATGAAACAGTGGGCATGTATACCAAATCACAACTCTCTTCCGCCACCCTCCTCCTCCTCTTCTTACAGCAAGAGGCTGAGGGACCTTCATGTGATTTATGACAGTTGCGTCATTTTGGAGACTTGGGCAGGCAACGAGGGGCAAGATAATTTAGCATTGAGGTGGGGCAACTGTCTGTTCCTGCCGGGGCAAAGTCAGATTACTCATCTTCCAGCAGGCCTTTTTTATAGTTGGGGCAGAGGGTGCTATATCATGTGGGTTTTTTCTGGCATCACTTGACTAGTGCTAACAGTGAAAAGTCAGAAAAACTGCTGGATTTGACAGGGTAGTTTATGTAGACTAGAGACCCCATTGTCTCTTTAGTACCATTTTTGTGTGTTATTGCTTATATGTGAGTTATATGAATTGTATTGTTTTATTTGCTTACTGCTTTGTTTGTGTTACTGATGTGTTGTTGGGCTTGGCCTCATGTAAGCCGCCCCGGGTCCCCTTGGGGAGATGGTGGCGGGGTATAAATAAAGTTATAACCCAAATACCTGGGAGTCACTCTGGACCGTGCTCTGACCTACAAGAAGCACTGCCTGAACATCAAGCAAAAAGTGGGCGCTAGAAACAACATCATACGAAAGCTGACTGGCACAACCTGGGGATCACAACCAGACACAGTGAAGATATCTCCCCTTGCGCTATGCTACTCTGCTGCTGAGTACGCATGCCCAGTGTGGAACACATCTCACCACACTAAAACAGTGGATGTGGCTCTTTTTTTTTAAATAGTTTTTTATTGTAGATTTTTCAATTTATATGCAGACACCAGTGATTGCACAAAAATACAGAAGCCAAAACAAAATACAACTACATATACAGATACTCACACAGAAACATATACAGACACACTAAGGCCTCCCTGTACCCCAATACGCTTACACTCCACAACTAGCACGAATAACGTCACTTTTGGGATATATGGGGAGGGGGGAAGGGGGAAGGGGAGGGGGGTGGGGGTGGTGCAGACAAATGGGGAGAATGTGGTGGGGGTTACATAATAAACAAATGGACTTCCCCAACAGATTGCGAGGTATTGCAAACTGTGTCCTTGTTCCAATTTTTTTAGTATATGTGCTGCCGAAGCGAGCACAACTGTGTCCTTGTATTCGATACTCTTTTTACATTAACAACGTCATCTATTCAAAATTTATTATTTATAATACAATGTTTTTCTTAACTTTTAAGTATTGTCTCAAAGGTTGCCAATCAATCCTTCTCTTTTTACTAACGTCATATACCATATTTGCCAGGGAGTCTAATTCCATAAATTCGGTAATTTTTAACAGCCACGCCTCCGTTGTCGGCAGTTCTTTTGATTTCCATTTGCTGGCAAACACTGTTCTCGCTGCGGCAGAAAGGTGATACAATAGTATCTCCTTGTTTCGCTCCAACACAACCTGGGGATCACAACCAGACACAGTGAAGACATCTGCCCTTGCGCTATGCTACTCTGCTGCTGAGTACGCATGCCCAGTGTGGAACACATCTCACCACACTAAAACAGTGGATGTGGCTCTTAATGAGACATACCGCATTATCACGGGGTGTCTCCACCCTACACCACTGGAGAAATTACACTGTCTAGCATCACCTGACATCCGCCGGGAAGTAGCAGCCAATAGTGAAAGAACCAAGGCAGTGACATCTCCAGCTCATCCCTTGTTTGGGTATCAGCCAGCATGTCAACGACTCAAATCAATAAAAATAGTTTTCTTAGATCTACAGAGACACTCGCTGGAACACCTCAGCAAGCGAGAGTCCAAAAGTGGCAGGCCCAAACCCAGCACCTCAATCCTAGGCAGTGCTTCTTGTAGGTCAGAGTGATACCAAATGAGAGACTCCCCCCTGGGCACACAGAAGACTGGGCAACTTGGAAGGCGCTGAACAGACTGCTCTCTGGCATCACAAGATACAGAGCCCATCTTAAGAAATGGGGCTACAGGGTGGAATCCACGGCATGTGAGTGCGGAGAAGAGCAAACCACAGACCACCTGCTGCAATGCACCCTGAGCCCTGCCACATGCACAATGGAGGACCTTCTAGCGGCAACACCAGAGGCACTCCAAGTGGCCAGATACTGGTCAAAGGACATTTAATCAACTACCAAGTTTGCAAAATCTGTGTTTTTTTTATCTGTTTGTTTGTTTTGTTCTGTTAGAAATGTAATACAATGGTATGGTTGCTGATGACACGATAAATAAATATTATTATT